AAAAAAAAAAAAAGGATTAACAAATTAGAAATAGAAGTCACAGTCCAGAAAATGAATAAACAGCTATAGAAATAACTGGATTAATACTGATTATGTGATTAAACACAAAATAGCATTCTTCACTTTTTAGTTGGCAAGGTAAAAGGGAATGGCAAGGTAAACTATAAGATATCATTTTTGGAAATACATTCATGATAAAATTTTAAATTTCCCTTGCAAAATGAAAATGTAACAAATGATCACTTTTCCAGTTTTATTTTTACAACTGGGGTATAGGCTAGAGGTGCAAGGATTCCCTAGAAACAGATTTGGGAGCAGAACAGGCAGAATGACTGAAATTCCCTGCTAAGGAGAGCAGTGGGCGAGATAGGAGAAGTCTGCTGTACCCTATGTTGATCATCTCCCTGGCTGGGGATCGAACTCAGGCCATGCTAGTGATGAAGACTCAACCTCAGGCCACTAGGCAGGCCCCATACTTTTCTAGATTCTATTGATGATTCTATTTAAAATCATCAAGCCTGTTCAGACAGCTCTCTTTTCTGTCCTGCTCCATGTGACTAAAGCCGTGAACTGATTGGGGGCTGCTTTTAACAACTGATTCTCCCATGCTACCTGTCACGCAGGCTTATCTAAGCCTCCAGCCAGGGAAACCCCTTGCTAACTTCTCCCTTGATTCCTAGCCCATGTCACACATGGAACAACAGAGCAAAGAGGACAGTCATCTAATGCTTTATCTTGGCAAAATGGCCACATCATAAAGCCATATTTATATTACAGAATCTTCAGTAATAGCATTCTCTCACACACAGCAGTTTTCTACAGGAGTTTTCTAATAATAATTTTGAGTTAAAGGCAAAAGCATTTCACAACTTGAGAATACATTTTCATCAGTGTCAAGACTGGGAGAGGTGGAACCCCAAGCCTGAGAAGTAGAGGAAGAGCAGCGCTCCCCATAACTCCCTCTCACTTAGTGATTGGGTCTCATCTGGTTATTGAGAAGAACAGTTGGATGACAATTTAGGGTCATGCTTCCCTGGGCAGAAGTATATGGCTGGTTGAGGGGCATCTGCCTATGTCGGAAAACAGCAGAAGATGGTTAAGTAGATATTCTTTTAAACCAAAAATACTGTAACTAATTAATGGCTTTACTAAACATAAATGAAAGCTTAGTCACTTTTTACAAGTGTTAAGGGCAACCCCAAGTTACCAGCACAAAATAGATTTCCTTAAAAGCAGCTTTGGGCCCTCCCTGGTGGTACAGTTGGTTAAAGCACAGCACTAAGAAGCTAAAGCCATTTAAGCATGAGTTTGATCCCCACCTGCCCAGGAGGAGATCCACATGGTGGCAGACCTCTTCTGACCCACCCGCTGCTCCCCTCAGCAGTGTAGTTCATCATCGGCCTGTTCTGCTCCCCATTCTGTCTCTGGTGTATCCTCTCACCACCCCTGCACCTCTGGCCTGTACCCCAGTTCTGTATGCACAAACAAATTTTTAAAAAGCAGCTTTGAATTTTCTTGAGCATTCGAATTTTCTTTTTTTTTCTCTTCTGTTTTCTACTGTCTTTCTTGCTTTTCAGATGATCTGTTAGGTCGATAATAAATATGCTTGCTATTCTTCACACTAACTTTATAGATATTTTTAGGAGACATAAAATGTTTACTACTGAATAATTGATTGCAAGATTTTTTTAGGAATTCATAGAGATAATACACAATTCATAGACTAACAAAAAAGTGAAATTTAGCAGAACCAATAAGTAGAGCCTTCTTTGCACAGGCACACCATTTATTCATCTGTGGCCACTGCGGCCTTTGTAATGTCAACCAAAAGAGAGCACCTTTGCATCTTGGTCCAGTAGAGACCTGTCAGCAGTAATGTCAAAGCTGTCACAGGGTTTGAAGAAGCAGATCTGGGGTAGGGCTGACTCAGAACCAGCCCCAGATGGGTACTTCCTTTAATAAGCAGCAAGAATCTGGGCACTTGCCCTAGAAGCAGAGTGGATGATGGTGAAAGAAGAGTTGCTTCCATGGGACCACACCATCTCCTGCAGTTCACCGTGGTCGATCATAAACAGAGAGACCATGGTTCAAAAACAGGATAGCAGCTTTCAACAGAGTGAAATTGTAGCAATGCCTATTTCACTATTTATGATATGGAAATATTCCTGTGGCAAATGTACTCCAGTAATTACAGCAAAGGCTCTTTGGATTCAGAAGAATGAGAAAGCTCATTTTTAAGTATGTAGATGATATGGTGATTGTAAAACTGTGTATCAGACTGTGGAATAGGAATTTGGACTGCAATACACAAAACTAATATATCTTGCTGAATTTTCATAAATGGAGACCAGAATTCATTCATAGGCCATTATTGTCTTTTCCAGAAATTATGCATCTTTGACAGTTTTGGAACCCTAGTCTTTGCCGTGTTTATGGGAGTATGGGGTAAGTTGTTTTCATTTATTTAGTTTATGTTTGTCTCTTAACGTTGTCTACTCTTAGACAAGACAGGCACTTGATAAAATAACATCAGATGTTTTATGTCAGCTCCCACTTTTAGGTCGGATTGCCCATGCTTCATTTGTTCCACTGGAGCTCCATTTATAATTCTTAACACTGCTGTATCAGTTAATTTTTGCTACATAAAAAAGTACCTCTGACTCATCCTGCTCCACATGGTGCCTTATCCTCCAGTGACTAGGCCAGAATTACCCACAGGATGAAATAATAAAATCTATTTAGCAATGGAACAGATATAATCCTAACAAATACAATGCCTATAAACTTTAACACTATATCTGTATTATTTACTTTGAATAGCATCATTAATGCAAAGAAGCAATCACCATTTTCTTTCAACACAAACTTTTCACTGTTTAATTGATGTGAATATTCTACCACAGAAGAAATAATTTCCATTTGCCAAGATACATGCATTTCTAATTTCATGGTATAAATCAAAGGGGGATGGAGTTCAGTTTGCAGATGGGTGGGGCAACGGAACCAAGTCTGTATTCTGCAACACTCACAGAAGCTTCTGTTGTCCTGGACAGGCTTTCTCTTAGCCGTGCCTCTGAAGGGTCACCGGTGGATCACAGAGAAGATGGTCTACCTTCTGGGACATTTTTAGAGACATCAGTTGCCTTTCCTTAATAAAATGACTTGTATGATGGTCAAACTTAGCTAGTAAAGCTACATGTTTTAGCTAGCGACCAAGTACTGGCTGCATTTGACACAAAGAACACTGAAGATCAAGTTCATGTATCAGATCCTCCGTACCCTCCATGATACATCAGTTTCCCATAAGAGTAGAGAAGTCACAGGTGTTGGGAACTATAACCAATGTCTCAGCTTGTATCGTAGTCTCTGAAATTCCAGCACATCTAGTAAACTACATATGCTAGTGGATGCTACTGGTCATTTAAATAAGGCTCTGCATTTATTAATGTTGACACTGTGACTTTGTATGATCATCACGCATGTGATGTGTGACGGTTACTTCTTCCTTGTGAGGATCTCTGACCCTCATCACAGAAAGCCTGAAACTGCGGAGCTGAAGAGGGAGGAGGATCATGGGGCATTTTCAGATCACTGTCACCATATTCCTGTTGCCTCTCTGTGTCCCCTCATAGATGTGACACTTGGCATATTTTTCTGCTTTCTGGGAGTTATAAGAATTGTGAGTCAAAAGCTTTTTTAAAGAAATGTGGTACAGGTTAGATGCTTACCCAAAAAACATCCTCCCTTCTAGGCCAAGCCTAGAAGCCTAACTCCCAACCTGTGGTTGGGATAAAAGGTCTGAGCATCTCCTCCTCTCCCCATTCTTTGTTGCTTTTACCTACTCCTGCCTGATTTTCCCTGAATCCAAGCTCTCAGATGCATGACTATAAATGTTCACCTTTGAATTTTCAGCTGGGCCAGTGGTTTCCAGATGACTAGCTTACAAGGGGCCAGAAAAGCCAGGAAGCCATCCCCGGACCAGCTGCAGTCAGGGATCAGGAGGTGACTGTCATAATTCTCAGTTCCAGGCTAAACTCCTGTGAGGCCCACACCCGCCAGTCCACTCCCACAGCCACCTCTACCAATGACAGACAAGCATCTTTGCTGCAAAAGGGTCTGAAAAGTGTCATTTCTAACCTTCAAGCCTTTCAGTTAGGAAGAAAGGCCGAGTGAGTTCATCTGCTTAAGCTGCCTTTGTGAGTAAACACAGCTGAAAAGCTGCAAGGCCATTAAAATGTCCCAGCCCTTCAGAAGCACTCTCTGGCAATCAGAGCCCTCCCACTCACCAGAGTGGGTGAGCTTGCTGCAGTGCCATACGGTCTGGACCCCTTTTTTGTTTATGGGTATCTCCCTAATCTTATGCATACTTTCTCTGGATGAAATGTCACCTCCAGGGTCCTGGGCACCCTTCCCTCCTCTCAGATTCTAAGCTGATGAAAGAATCATGATGCGTGATCAGCTAGGGACTCCTGGATCGTGATGTGCCAGAAAGCATATATGCTGCGCTCCCACAGGGAGTCTATTGGTTGTTGTATTGCAAGAGAGAAGGAAAGATGCAGGACAGGAAACTCCTGCCCCACAGCACTGTCCTGGGCTGCCGGTGTGGGCCATAGCGATGGGAGTCAGCAGTGACCGGCCGGAATATTCCAGAACACTGAGTGGCTATGCTGGCTTACTGGTCTCCTCCAGGGACCTGCTGAGTCCTTTGCTGTCCAGAATGAGGAACTGAGAACCTCCCCCCATATTCCTGCAACTCCCAGGGTTTTCTCCTTCAAAGCTGAGATTTGCTAACAACTCGTTATTTTTTTACCAGGTCATTTCTTGCTTACATGACAATTTTATCACTTCCTAGGCAGAACTGCTCTGAAAGTGCAGGGTTTAGTAAACAGCCTTTTTATCCCTTATGTCAACATTCAGAGAGAAGGGACCAAGGGTGCCCATTGGTGTCCTCTTAGAACACCTGCAGAATTGCTTTTTCTTCCTTAGAGAAGCAAGATTATTTTCATAAGTCATTTATTAACACTGTTGCTAGATATTGAGTAAATTAATGGCTATTCCTATTTTCAAGAAGAAGGAAATGATGCTGAGGGAGATGAAGCAAATTACCTAAGACCCCAAAGGCAGAGGGTGACAGGCACAGATAGAGCTCAGCAAATAATTAGACTGTGATCAGCCTTTAGGGCCGTGACAAAATGCCGTGTGTATTAACTAGAGGGGCAGCACGTGTCGCGAGCTTTGTGAAAGTTGCAGAAATACATCTTTTGAGTCAGATCATTGCACGATTTTGTCAGAGCCTCTGAGAAATAGGAATGGATTAGGAAGTGTTTGTGCTGTGCCTTTGATGCCACCTTATCTGCTGCAGGTGTGTCTGATCAGGGCTGAGAAAGCGCCAGCCTCCACCTCTTTCTGACAGGCTTATAGGTAAACACGGGTTTGTCTCTTTGGGGCCTCTGGGCCCTTTGGGGCCAAAGTGCATCAGGCTCTAATGTCCCTCATCGTAATTTCTTTTCAGAATCGATGCATTTGGAGATCTCAACTCATGAAAGTAACCTGCTTTTGGAAATAAAATGAAAAGCAATGACTTTGCTTTGTAGGGAAGGAAATTGAGGCCTTCCTCCTTTAAAAGTAAATAAGAGGAATTTCAAAAAGATTTACTTCTGATCACTACATTAAAATTGAGATATTTAGGAGTCTGGAAACACAAGGAAGATCTCTGGTGTGGCTTTAGAGCACTTTCCCAGTGGGCGGAGCTCACAAGGAGCCGGAGGGGCTGACACCCTTGGCCTACACCCTCCGAGCTGCTCTCCTGACTTTGGGTAGGAAGAGCCAGTGCTGTGCTGCCTGGGCATGTAAGCTTGGAGTGAATTACGAAGCAGGAGATGACAAACGATAAACCCCTAGTTTGTCCACATCACAGAAATAGACATGTTCTCCATAGGATATTCTGCATCTGCGGATATCCGGGCCCGTGTGGATGGGATGGCGGGCAGTGTTGCTAAGCTGTGGTCAGGTGTCAAGAGAACAGCCGGAGTCCCTGGCCCTCTTAAGTGGATGGTCCCATCCTGCTGTGGTGCCAGCCATGGGGATTCTCTGGGTTCTGGAGTGGCTGCCTATGGCTCATTCATCCAGCTAGTATTTATTCATGCCTGCTGTGTGCCAGCACGTCAGCTATCAATAAAACAGAATCCCCACCCCATAAGGGTGACCTTCCATTAGGCACGATAAACACTAAATGCAGAAGCGAATCCCAGCGAGGATACGTAAACGTAAGTGCTACCTGTTTCGAATGCAGAAGCTGAGTTCAAGATACTTTGCATGATCTGGTTTATATAAGATATGTAGGCGTATGTACTTGTGTCTGATCAATATTTTACTTGAGTGATGGATAGTCATGTTTTACATGTTATGTAAGATTATTAGTTTATATGTATTATGTACTATTATAGTGGAGAGGAGAGTGTGCCTTTTTGCAAGAGCATGCACTTCTTCTGCAATGATTTTGTACTTCTAGAGGGGGCAACAGTGCAAAGAGCCTAAGGGACATGCAATACTGACAGTAGGGTTCTCCGAAACAGTAAAAAGTGGGAGTCTTCGGTTAGGAAGGAAACATGGATGTTATCAGAGATGTGAATCCCGGTGACTTTGGTGAGTGCGTAGATCCTCTCTGCTGCTGGATTGGTGCCCCCAGGAGGGCTGACTTGTGGGTAATGCAGCCCCATTCTCAATTAAAAGTCCCATTGAAAAGTGCCCACCCCATGGGCCTGCTCGGCTGCGGTAAGAAGCAGGACCAACCAGCCCCAGTGTGCTCTAGAACTACTAACGCCTTAGAGACCTGTGTCCCCTTGATGCACCACCTTCCTTGCCACCACACCCCACAGGGGACCAGGGCATGAGTGATCGGCAGTTTTCACAGACATGGCAGCATTGCTCTCCCCACTGAGTACTCAGCATGGGTCCCTAGACAGGCTCTGAGGTAGGGATGCATGTGTGTCTCTCCCGAAGAGGTCAGCCTTTGAAGTTCTGGGGGCACAAATACTGTCTTAGCAGCTCTTTCAATCTGGAAGGAGCTACTGGGTCCAAGTGTGTAAGCAAAGGGGAGTTCATCCTGCCAGCAGGGCTGGCCGACCAGCCCAGCTCTTGGGGTCTGACAGGTGAGCCTGGTCTGTGCACCTGACCGGCTGTTAGCTTAGAGGACTTTGGGTGCCCTGAAAGTATCAGGTCAGTATCCAAGGGCTTTGTAGATTCTACCTCAATGTCTGCTCATCTTGTGGTCTAGGGGCACCTACGTGGGGCAGTAACACATCGTGAGTAAGAACTTGACTTTGGGGAGCCAGAGTGCCACAGGTCACCCCAGCTTCCCATACTGTAACCTCAGGCAAATATCTGAATCTCTTTGTGCCTTTATTTCTTTATGTCTAACATGGGGATGGTGCTGGCAACTCTCTTAAAGGGTTGAGGGGGCCTTTAGAGATAGGATGCCATTTAGTCTGACCTTATATAGAGCAGGTTCTGTTTCCCTCTTACAGGCAGGAAAACAAAGGCTCAGAAAGATGAGCATTTTATTTACTTTTTTTTTAAAGATTTATTTATTTATGCATACAGAACTGGGGTACAGGCCAGAGATGTGGAGGGTGAGAGGATTCGCCAGAGACAGAGTGGGGAGCAGAACAGGCAGATCGACGAAGGACACTGCTGAAGGGAGCAGCGGGCGGGTCAGGAGAGGTCTGCCACGCCATGTGGATCTCCTCCAGGGCAGGCGGGAATCGAACCCATGCGGAAGTGGCTTAAGCTTTTCAGTGCAGTGCTTCAACCCGCTGCGCCACCAGGGAGGGCCTTATTTACTTCTTTATATTTATTTTCCTTTAAGCATACAAGAGCTGGGGTGTATGCCAGAGGTTCGGGGGGTGAGAAGCATAGGGACAGAGACAGCATAGGGAGCAGAGCAGGATTTCCACTAAAATCCACTGCTGGGGGAGCAGCAGGGGAGATAGGAGAGGTGTACTCTCTGGCCTGGGATCAAACTCAGGCCACTTAGCTTCATAGCAGTGAGACTTTAACCCCTGCACCACCAGAGGCCCAGATGAACCATTTCAACCAGCTGCCACATACCTAGTACTTCTCAGGACCAGGATTTGGACTTGATTCCAAAATCAAGTGTGTGATTTCTCCTCTCACACACTATTACTGAAAATGGCTGAAGTCTAAGCTAACTCTGCTGGGAGTGGATGCCCAGCACGTCCCCTTCTGTCACTGGCATGTGGCATCCCAGGCAGGCATGAGGTTTCCTCCTGCACCTTGGCCATCCTCTGCAGCATTCCAGGCCTGGCGTTCCAATCTCCATGCCAGCGATTCTTAGCTCTGAATGCTGGGTGGGAGTTTAGAAGCAACAACAGGGCCTCTCTGGTGGCGCAAAGGGTTAAAGCACCTACTGCCCTGGCCTCCTGGCCTTTGCATACATAGTTCCTTGGTGGGAAATGGCTGATGATTCCACCTTCACAAGATCAATAAGTTATCTCAGCTCGCCATGGTGATCCCCTCCTTGCCGTCTGACATGTTGGTTGCATGTCAGCTCTGAACGGTTGCTCAGAGCTGCCTTGACCACAGCACTCATCACTTGAGTCGCTCACAGCTTGGAGCCCCTTGACATAGGGGCCGGCTTTCTTTTCTCCTTTTTTCTCAGCACATAGTAGAGGTTCAGAAATATCTTTGTGGAGAGTGGTCATTCCCGAGTTTCTATGCAGGAAGGATATGGTAACATCAGATGGGAGAACTTCAGGCATTTGCTCTGAAACTACCTTTTCATTTGCTGTTGTTTCTATTTAGTGTTTTAAGTTACCGTTCTTGAAAAAATAAAGATTTCAGTGATGCATGACCAAAATTTATGCTATAATGTATAAATTTCTTCCACATTTTATACAGGATTGAAACAAATAGCAGTTTTCTAGATTTAAGATTTTGAATTTGGGGTGGTTTGGGTGGTGGTGCATAGAGATATAGCATGGAGAAGAGAAGGTGAGGGAAGTGAAAGGTTTGGTCCTAGGTTTCGGCACCAAGATAAAAAGTTCGGTGCAGTTGAGAGAGGGGGATGCAGGCAGAGTTTCTGACAGGCAGGAACTAACTATATTGCGCTCCCGGGCAAGGTTCATCTACCTCCACTGAGGTTGAGGTCAGAGAAGTCATGCGGGTGGGGAAACACTGGTAAGCTTTTTTTTTTTCTTTTAAAGATTTATTTGCCTATTCATACAGAACTGGGGTACAGGCCAGAGATGCGGAGGGTGAGAGGATTCACCAGAGACAGTGGGGAGCAGGACAGGCAGATCCATGAAGCA